TGTGTACAGGATTGCACATAGCGAAGCAAGGTTTGCATTTCAGTCATTCATTACATGCCACAGGTTTTCAGCTAGAAGTGCAACTACAAGGTTTATGTCTTAAAATCTGCAAAAATTATCCTGAATTTCAGCGAATGTAACTGACATCAGCGTATATACCTTGTGCCAAAGAAAACTTGATTGTTCAGCCCTGCAATTACCTGTGCAATAGCCTCCCTGAACATCAAATAATTATCATCTGACTCTAATGGAAAAGGAAACAAGACCTGGACGACTTTAAAAAAATCCCCTCCAAAATCTCTGATCTTACAATACGAGATATAATCACTTACTTTTATTACCTATAATTAGAAATATATGGTTCAAAGATTACAGACCGTAAATGAAAGCATGTGGCTGCTCACCTACAGTATACCAACTAGCATCTGTCAACTTGCTGATAACAGCTTCTTGAAAGGATCCATCAGGCATTTTGGTTTCAACCATTGCACCAACCTGCAAAAAGGAGTATCTCAAGGTTACATGTAATGCCAAACTCATATAATGGAGAAAAACACATGTAGGCATTAATTCTTTCAGCAAGCTAGACTTTTTTTTTTTTTTTTTAAAGACTCATTTTAGCTAAATGTTACTCTGTAAAATTGAGTACCTTAGCTGGTAAAAACAAAGTTCCTTAAGTATGAAGGTTGAACTGCAAGTAGACAGTAAAGCGGTAAGAGGCTCAGAAGATCCAATTTCAGCATGACTTACATCATCACCAGAAATAACAGAAGGCTAACTGGAAATCAATATTCAAATATATCACAAAAACACAAATCACCAAATATTTTTATATAAAATACACCAACGATTTTAGAACACAGAGCAATCATATTCACTACTGTCTAAACAGGCTTGAACTTCATTTTGTAATCAAGTTCTCAATTACTTATAAGAAGTTTCAAAGCTTCATTACTTGTAAGAAGCTTTATATCCCATAAGGAGATACAAAAATCACTGCGTGCATAACTGTTTGTGTATGAAGTATATTACATGGAGAAGCATAAAAAGCCTCTACAAGCTACAAGAGTAAAGACTAATTACTAAGACTCAATATGATCTAAAGCAATGAGCCTCCTTCTGCTGATGTAAATTCTGCAGAACGGGTACTCACCTAAACAGCATCAAAATTTAGAATTTTACAAATCAATTATGTGATTATGAAAAAGAAAAAAAGGCATGCAATATACATACTCTTAGAGGTCCTTTCACTTGGTCATCTTGCACTAGCTGAGTTGAGTTATCCCCCTTCAGAACCACCTGAAAAATATTAAAGAACTTTTCTGTATCTCTTTTTTATAATATATATCTTATTTTTGATAGCATATAAAAAGCATATGAAACTGTATAGTAATCATAATTTGGAAAGTAAGATCTTTATCAGTCAGACTCAAACATTACTGAACACAGAACACTGGGCATGGATGGTTTTACTGACAGGAAGCCCCAAGTGTCACACTTAATATTTCATCCGAAACATTATAATTAAAGAATAAGGCAAATCAAACATCAGCTACTCCAAGGCAAAGAAAATACATTTTGATGTGAGTTTGGATATTGATGCAGTTTGGGGCATACCTGGAATTGGGCATCCAGATCAGAAGATTAAGCAGGTTTTTCTCTCTCTCAACTTCAACTGTAGCAATTTATTGACAACACATTGAGTACTACATTAAAAAGCTCTCTTTATTAAATACGTATCAAAAAAAATCACCAAACTGAATACAATAGCACCACTTCTGCTGCCTTGAGCAAGAAAAAGTTTTTATGGTAAAGATGTACAAGTGTATTGAAAATAAGGATCAGTTACAGTGTGAGTGCTTCTCCCTTTAAAATCCCACACTTGAGAAGGTAGCACTGATGACACAGAGTGAATGTAAGCCTATGTAATTTGGATTCCCGAGTTTGCAGACTCAGTGTAGAAACATAAAAGATGAATATTTAGATGTCAACATTGTTAACTGTTTCACTGCTATTTGTTACAGCAAAAACACCAATGGTGTTTTATTAAAAGAATTCCAAAATTCCTGTTTCTATTCAGAAATCAAAAGTTCCAGGTGTTTCCTTTCTACCTAGAAAGATGTCCAGTTTTCTGGCTCCCCCAATTATCCCCCAACCATCGCCTACACTGTAGCAGTATTTATAACTCCAGTAGTGTGCTAAAACAGCATTCGTATCAACACACATTCAGGTTAAACTAAAATTGCATAAAGTGCATTATTAAAATCGTGTATCGGCATTGAGGTGAATGTAGGTTGTCCTGATACTCAGAAAATACTGGACTTTCTGGACTCTTTGCCCTCTTGGCAGATGTGTTGGGGTGTGCCTACCTGCTCTTAATCACAGTATCAGGCTTACTTTGTTAAAACTTCAATTGTTAGAATATAACTGAGACAGGGTGACAGGAATTTCCATCGAGTCACAGCAGCCTCATATGCTTCCAAATCTTATCAATCTTATCTAACTTAAGAGACTGATAGCTTGTTCTACTTGATCTAAGCATTAGAGCACGCAAAAAATTAGATGTGTAGTTATAAAAAGAAGCTTTCATCTCTATTTATTGGGGGGGGGTTGGGTCACTAATGTCTTATTTACATATCCTGGACAAGAAAGTAGGAAATGGCAAGATTTTGACAAAACAAAGAGGAACAATTTCTGTATTTCCTACGAATACTTTTACTTAATTACGTTTTATTCTTGCTTTCCCACAGTAGCACTTACAACAGTACTGCAACACCAAAATAATTACTTTTTCAGTTGTTTTGGCATAAGACTTGTGAATATGAATGAATATTATGGGCCAGTACTATGCACGTGTAGAAACTCAGCTACAGCCAGGGCATGCTGCTTGAGAAGCAGCAGCAAGATGCTCAAAACTTAACAAATGTTATCCCGGCCATTTCTAAAACCTGGTCTAAGAAACTAATTATTGCCATCTTTTTTTGCTGCTATGTTGATTTATTTTGGCACTGCCTCTTAAGTTCCAAGCTATAAAACTGAGAACATCAGTTGGAATGAAATGGAACTTTTGTTTCCGTGAAGAGGCTGCTCTTATTCCTTATTGCTCATGTAAAGCCATAATCCTGTATTTGTGACATCAAAACTGATTGCTGTGAAACTGATGCATTCACAAACAGAAGACAACCGTGATCAGGAAAGAAGTAGCTAGAATAAGTAATTTGAAAGCTCATTCTTGTTCTAGCATCCTGCTTAAAAAAAAACCCAAAACACACACACCCCCTCAAAAAGAACAAAAACCACACCAAAATATGAAAAACAACATTTAAATGTTCTTTAAAATTCATACAGAGAAGTAACGAACATTTCCTAGTCTTCAGGACTAGGATCTTCTCTCACAGTCCTTTCAAAACATTGCTTTAATAAAATGAGCAACAAGCAGAGTCTACTACCTTGACTTTCACAAGCCTTTTCACTGTCTTAATCTTTGCCTCACAGAAGGCACCACGGTACTTGGCACTGACATCAGTTCCCACTGTCAGGTAGGCAGGCTCATCTGCTGCCTATTAAGAAACAACAAATAAGAACAAAGTTTAGTTCTTCTTATTTATTTTTACAGCTACATCATTCAGTATTTAATTTTACATCTAAACTTTTAGACCTACTGACTTCTAAATGATAAGCAATGTCTGCACTTGGAATTGCAATTAGATTAGACAGTTCTTTAAAAGAAAAAAAAAAAACAAAACTAAAACCCAACCAACAAACAACTACAGTGAGTTTTGTTTTACCAGTGATGTGGACACACACCCCCCCCTCATTTTGTGAGCCTAATTACTCTCCCAGAATTATCTTTGAGGGTATTGAACAGATATTTGAAACATCTCCTTATAAAAAGGGTAATAATGTATAAGAGCAATTATGAAAGTCCTTCCTATACAGCATACAAAAGGAAAATATTTCAACTGAAAAAAAAGCAGTATAAAAGAGAGTTGCACTTTTTTCAGCTACAAGCAATCTAATGACACTGATGATTTAAAACATTTGAGATAGAATGTTACAGACTTAATAGTAAGTATTGGAGTAATAGCTAAGATTTTTTTTTTTTCCAGTTGACTAAAAGGAAGCCTCCAGAGAAATTTGTTGTAATCTTTCAAACAGCTGTTAACTAGTATTTTTCTTTGCTGAAACACCTTTATCAAAGCTTAATTGCTTATGCATTTTTAAGAGAGAGAAATATTTCTCATCATGTTTTCCTTAATCTGGACTTTATTACTCAATATTATACTTCACTGTGCTCGAAGCAACTGATAAACAGGGGTAAAATTACCACGTTGAAAATGCTTATCAAGACAGAAAATCGGCACAGAATATAAAATAAATAGTTTTCTGGGTTTTTAAAAAAATTATTAGTTATCAATTCTGAAGATTAAAAAAAAGTTTTTCTCTCTTTTGTAAACGATACTGCAATTGTTAAGCCTTTTACTGGGGGGGAAAAAAAAAAAAAAGAAAAAAAACAAAACAACCAACCCGGCAACCGCTAAAGCGGGACAAAAGCTGTGGTTTTGCAAACTTGCAATAGCAGCTGCTGATACAGGAAGCATTTGAAGACAGTAGCCCAAAGGACAACAACTCAAAGACGTCGTGAATTTTCAGCCTACTACTGCAAGAGCTGAGCTCACCCGCCCCTCGGCTGGAGCGCAGGATTTACAGCACGCCCCGAACCCCCGGCCAGCGTTACCCGACTGTTGCTCAGCCGAGACGGGCCATTAGAAAATGAAATCGCCAAGAGACACGAGCGGAGGGGCGGAGGGGGGGAATGGAGCCGCTCCCCGCTCCGGAGCGAGCCTACCTTCATCTTTAAAGGTTATTTGAGGGATTCCAGCTCCAAGACTTCTCCTCCCCGCGAGCACACGGGAAAACGCTGCAAAACAAGGAGGGCGGGGGGGTGTG